CACAAAAGAATCAAATGTAAGAAGTTAATGATCCAAATACTTTATGAATTATAATTTATTAGCTTTTCAAGTAATTACTGAACATTAAACCACAAAGAACAAAATAAAGCAGATACCACAGTGGACCATCCAGAATCAAAGATCTACAAGAGATAGAGGGGTTTTTTTGTTTTTAAATACTGTAATTCTCAGCCTTTTTAGAAAATGTTTTTCCTTTTTTTTTTTAATTTTTTTAAATAGAGGTGGGGGGAAGAGAAAGAAACATCATTCAGTTGTCTCCCCCACACACCCCAACAGGGGATAGAACCCGCAACCTAAGTATGTGCCCTGACCAGAAATCGAACCAGTGACCATTCAGTGCATGAATAACACTCATCCAACTAAGCCACACAGGCCAGGGCTAAAATAGACCAAGTTTTGATAGCATTCTGGTTCAGTTCTTGCTTGGCCTTACTTTGCTAGCATTCCTGTCCTTGGATTACTGTTCCGTAACTGCTCACTGTGTCTTTACAATGAATGTCCCTTTACTCGAGCCAGTTAAACCAGTTCTCTGTTGCCTGTACAGAAGAACCAAACTCGGACTAAAGGGTATCACTGAATTGGTATTTATTGAGTAACAAGGGAAGTTTATATATTAAAACAGAGTAACTCAGAGCTATTACTACACTCGGAAAAATAAATTTCAACAAATCAACACTTTGTTATTATTTCCTATAACAGACATGTTTCAAGACTCCTGCCTAGAAAGGGAAACTTCCTGATTCCCACAGCCTCTGACCACAAACAACTATACCAAAAATATTTCCCTAGCACCTGGTAAAGAAGAAAAAAGATAAACTGACCAAATCAGATTCTTCTCTTAGTATTTGGGCCAGATAGCTATGGAGAAATAAACTGAAACTTCCTGAAGACTTGGCAGTAATGGCTGTCATTTTGGGTCAAGTATAACCTGGTGAATAGGCAGAAGACATTCAACATAGAGAAGAGAAAGAATGCACTGAAAAGAGCAGACAAGAGACTATGGAACACCTATGGAAACACAAAGCCTCCCAGTGCCCAGGAAGCCCACATATAGATTTCCTGCTCTGGAGTTCAGAGAGAATTCCTGGTCTTTAATTTAATGCCCTGAATTTTTGCTAACTAGAATAGAGCTCTATACTTTGAAACTAAAACTGCCTTTACTAGAATATTTATTTCCTCAACCATTAAATCTAAATTGTCAGGCACTTTTCTCCTCCACACCTACCTTTCTTTGCTCTCCTGGAGGATTTTTGCACAGGCAAGCCTAGATCATGATGGCTCCATTTCACAAACATAGATCCAGAACAATATAAGCAGAAGAGTTGGTGCCAAGAACCGTTACAGGAAGGAGGTACCAGTGAGAAAAAGCCAGGCAAAAGCAGTAGAAACTTGAGCAATAAGAAAAGGAAATGAAATATGAGAATTAACCTAATTTAATCATTAAGGGGGGGAAAAACCTAGTAAGTCTGTACCACAGCATCTACTATTTCACTATATATCTGTAGCATACACAATAACAATATTCACTGAGACTCCATGTCAGGCCCTATCTTAAAAATTCTTTATGTAGTTTATCATGATCTTAATAGTCTTAAGGATCTGAAAATGCAGGTACTCTCATCCCTATTTTGTAAGAAAAGCACAAAGTTATTACATTGCTCAAATAAAATATAAATAAATCAGCATTATTCTTCATTACTGCAGGGAAAAAACAAAAAGCTTCTTTTGACTCAAGTAACTATAAACCCTACTATATTATCGTATTTATGAATTTTCCATTCACTGTCAGTAACAACACTAAATACCAGCATTTGCTGTTTGAAGGCATTGTCCTGCAAGGCAGACATTACTCCATTTTATATGTGGGGAAACCAAGGTTCACAGAAGTAATCTGTCCAAAGTCATATAGCTGATAAAGACCAGAAGTGGGATTCAAATTCAGGTCTGTATACCCTTTACTACTTCTCGGTTCTCATCACAGGAAAGCATAAAAGCTCCCCCATACCTGGGTTCCACAGTTGTTGTTCCAGATCACTACACTATTTTTATACTTTATTTCATGATGGGGGGGGGGATACAAAGGGGAGAGGGGATATAAAGTCATCACAGCAGTCCTGGCTGATTTGGCTCAGCAGTTAGAACATTAACCGAAAGATGGAAGAGTCATGGGTTCAATTCACAGTCTAGGGCACATACCTTGGCTACAGGTTCAACCCCTGGCCTCAGTCAGAGTAGTGCAGAAGGCAACCAACTGATGTCTCTCTCACATTGATGTTCTCTCTTTCTCTCTCTCTCTCACTCTGTCCCCCTCCCTCCCTCCCTCCCTCCCACTTTAATCAAAAAAAAAAAAAAAAAAAAAAAAATGAACAACAACAATGGAGAAGTATCTATGAGTGAGGATTAAAAATAAATAAATAGTCCCACCAGTGTGGCTCAGTGGTTGAGCATGCACCAAGAGGTCGCCAGTTTGATTCCCAGTCAGGACACATGCCCAGGTTGTGGGCCCAAACCCCAGTGGGGGGTATGCAGGAGGCAGCAAATCGATGTTCTCTCTCATCGATGTTTCTATCTCTCCCTCTCACTTTCTCTTTAAAAAAAAAAAATCAATAAAGGGGAAAAAAATGTTTTTTAAATGAAGTGAAATTTAACATATTTGCCATCCTTGGGATCAGGAAAAATCTTACCAGCAGAGCATAAGAATCTATGTAAGTGCCTAGCCAATGTGGCTCAGTTGGTTCAGCATCGTCCGAAACACCAAGAGGTTGCCAGTTAGATTCCCAGTCAGGGCACATGCCCAGGTTTCAGGCTCGATGCCCAGTAAGAGGCGGCACAAGAGGCAGTCTATCAGTTTCCTTCTCACATCAATGTTTCTTTCTCTCTCCCTCTTCCTCTCTCTCTCAAAATCAATAAAAATATTTTTTTAAAGAAGCTATGTAAGCAATGTGAAAGTTACAAATATTTGTCCACAAATAAAGGCACAGAATGGGCTTTTCCAAAGTTTTGCTAACATTAAGTTTTTTGAGATTCACTTGTCATCTCCTGCATTCACCTAATAGACATGTAATAGCAGGAAGAAAAGCTTTGCAAGAATTTCAACAAGAGCCCTGGCAGTTAGAGCATCGACCTGCGGACCAGAGAGAACGGGATTCAGTTTCCGCTAAGGGCACGAACCTTGTTTGTTCCCGGCCCCTGTTGAGGATGTGTGGGGGCAACCACTCGATGTGTCTCTCTCACATTGATATTTCTCTCTCTCTCTCTCTCTTCTTCCCTCTCTCCCTCCTTCTCTATCTGAAGATAAATGTAAAAATGTCCTCGGGTGAGGATAAAAAAAAAAGAATTTCTACAAGAACAGTTTGAGAAAGAAAACAAAGCATGTACCTCCACAGCCATTAATATAAATTTTCTACAAATTATGACAATAATTTTTTTTTTAATCCTCACCTGAGGATATTTTTCCATTTATCTTCAGATAGAGTGGGAGGAAGGGAGATAGAGAGAGAAACATCAACATGAGAGAGACACATCGACTGGTTGCCTCCTGTATGACCCAGACCAGGGCTGGGGAACAAATTGCAACCTAGGTATGTGCCCTTGACCGAAATCAAACCCAAGACCCATTGGTCCACAGGTTGACACTCTAACCACTAAGCAAAACCAGCCAGGGCAACAGTGAATATTTTTTCAGAGGTGTACAACTTAGACCACCAGTGAAAACTACCAATTCTGAAAAATAAGTTCAGAGGAGAAACTATCAACCACAAGGCATGTCTATAGTGTAGTCTCTGTGGATTGGAGGCAAGGCAAGGGAAAGTTGCAGAGAAAGACTAATTTGCTCTCCCTTTTGACAGGAATTGGAGAAATAAAGACCACGGTACACATGCCTTACTGCTCTCTCCTCAAATATCATCCACTAAGTAGCAAAACTGCACTATAACACTAGTGCCATGTTAGTTTGTCTTATTTCCCTAAAAGTAATCCCCATAGTATTAAAAACATGACAGGTATTACACATAAACATCTATAATGTGAGAAATTACCCTTAGCCTTAGGAATAATAAAATAGCAGAAATAGGACTTCTAGGGCCAGCTTCTTTTATATGGTTCTTACCCCATGTAAAAAAATACCGCCCTGGCCGGTTTGGCTCAGCAGTTAGAGCGTCGACCTACGGTCGGTCTGGAGAGACCCGGGTTGAGTTCCCGCTAAGGGCATGTACCTCGGTTGCAGTTTGTCCCTGGCCCTGGTTGGGTCGTGCGGGTGGCAGCCACTCGATGTGTCCCTTTCACGTCGATGTCTCTCTCTCTCTCTCCCTGGCCCTGGTTGGGTCGTGCGGGTGGCAGCCACTCCAGGTGTCCCTTTCACGTCGATGTCTCTCTCTCTCTCTCTCCCTCCCTCCCTCCCTCCCTCTCTATCTAAACAAAATATAGAAAAATGTCCTCGAATGAGGATTTAAAAAACAAAAAAAAAACAAAATACAAACAGCCCTGGCCGGTTTGGCTCAGCGGTTGGAGCGTCGGCCTGCGGTACAGAGAGACCCGGGTTCGGTTCCCGCTAAGGGCACGTACCTCGGTTGCACTTTGTCCCCAGCCCTGGTTGGTCGTGCGGGTGGCAGCCACTCGATGTGTCCCTTCACATCGATGTCTCTCTCTCTCTCTCTCTCTCTCTCTCTCTCTCTCTCCCTCCCTCTCTCTCTTTCCCGCTCTATCTGAACAAAAAATGGAAAAATGTCCTCGGGTGAGGATAAAAAAAAAACAAAAAACAATACTTGCCATCGTGGCCGTTTTGGCTCAGCGATTTAGAGCATCAGCCCACTGACCAAAGAGTCACAGGTTTGATTCTGGTGAAAGGCACACAAAATTAAAATCCACAAGGCAGAGAAAAAGTAGTAAGCCAAATAAATAATAATGCAAACAAACCTGAGAAGAATCAACCCAGAAGAACACAGATAAAATAAAAGATTACTTAAAAAAACAGAAACCCAGTGCCTTGCTTCGGTAGCACACATACTAACTGGAATGACCCGGAGAAGATTAGCATGGCCCCTGCGCAAGGATGACACGCAAATTCATGAAGCGTTCCATATTTTTAACCAGCATCAAAATGAAAAGAGAACCAACTCTTTGAAAGAACATATTTGCCCTTGATACATCAAATAAGAAATTAATTTCCAAAATATATAGAGTACTCATATACCTCAACAAAAGGAAGACAAACAACCCAATTAAAAAATGGGCAGAGGACCTGAATAGACACTTCCCCGAAGAAGACATACAAATGGCCAAGAGATATATGAAAAAATACAATTTAAAACAACTATGAGGTATCACCTCACACCTGCCAGAATGGCTACTACCAACAAATCCTCAAACAAGTGCTGGCACGGATGTAGAGAAAAGGGGACTCCAGTACACTGCTGGTAGGAATGGAGACTGGTGCAGCCACTATGGAAAACACTACGGTGTTGCCCTGGCCTGCTTGGCTCAGGGGTAGAGCATCAGCCTGCGGACCAAAAAGTTGCGGGTTCAATTCCAGTCAAGGTCATGTACCTCAGTTGCGGTTGGGTCCTTGGTCCTGGTCAGGTCATGTGGGAGGCAACCAGTCGATGTTTCTCTCTCACATCGATGTCTCTCTCTCTCTCTCTTCCCCCCCTCCCTCCTACTCTATCTGAAGATAAATAGAAAAAATATCCTCAGGTGAGGACTAAAAAACAGAGAGACAAAAAAGAAAACAATATGGTGTTTCCTCAAAAAATTAAAAATGGAACTCCCATTTGACCCAGTGGTCCCATTTCTAGCCTTATACTAAGTGAAATAAGCCAGTCAGAGAAAGACAAGTATCACATGACCTCACTTATTTGTGGAATGTAATGAACAAAATAAGCTAACAGTGTTCATGGAACTTTAAATGCATTCAATCTACCTAAACAATGTGGAAATATGTATCAAATTTTTAAATACACTCTTGTCTGATCTGTTAATTTCACTTTGTAAACATTTTACTTCTAAACAAATTGCTCCTGAATACAAAAATATTAAAATATTGTTTACTAAATACAGTACTGCTTATAATGTCAAAAGGAGAAACAACCTAAAATTCCATCAGTCTGGGATAAAATAAATTATTGTGCTCCTATGCACAATGGCCCTTAAAGAGAGAGAGAGAGAGAGAGCGAGCCCTGGCCTGTTTGGCTCAGCTGTTGGAGCGTCGGCCTGCCGTCCAGAGAGATCCGGGTTCGGTTCCCGCTGGGGGAGCGTACCTCGGTTGCAGTTTGTCCCCGGCCCTGGATGGGTTGTGTGGGTGGCAGCCACTCGATGTGTCCCTTTCACGTTGATATTTCTCTCTCTCTCTCCCCCTCTCCCCCTCCCACTCTATCTGAACAAAATATAGAAAAGTGTCCTCGGGTGAGGATAAAGAAAAGAAAAGAAAAGAAAAGAGAGAAACATCAATGTGAAAGGGACACATCAAGTGGCTGCTACCCGCACGACCAACCAGGGCCGGGGACAAACTGCAACCGAGGTATGCTCCCCGAGTGGGAACCGAACCCAGGTCTCTCTGGACCGCAGGCCGTCACTCCAACTGCTGAGCCAAACCAGCCAGGGCTTTTGTTTGTTTTTAACTGAAACCCTAATGAGAGCTCTGGATGTTTTTAATTAATTTTTTTGAGAGAGAGAGAGAGGAAGGGAGGGAGGGAGGAAGGAAGCTGGGGGAGAAAGAGAGAGAACATCAATCCATTGCCTCCTGTATACACCCTCACCAGGGATTGAACCCAAAACCTAGGTATGAGTCCTGATCAGAAATCAAACCTGAAACCTTTCAGTATATAGGACGATGCTCCAACCAACTGAACCACCCAGCCAGGGTAGATGTAGATTGTTTTGTTTTTTAAATTGATTTTAGAGAGGAAGAATGTGAGAGGGAAAAAGCGAGAAACATCAATTTGTTGTTCCATTCATTTATACATTCATTGGTTGCTTCTTGTATATGCCCTGACCAGGGATTAAACTCAAAACCTTGGCATATCAGTATAAGGCTCTAACCAACTCAGCTACCCAGCCAGGGCTGAACAGTACATTTTATTTATTTATTTTTTTCCTTTATTAATTTTTAGAGAGGAAGGGAGAGGAAGAGAGAGAAAGAGAAACATCGATGAGAGAGAACATTGATTGGCTGCCTCTTGCCGGTCCCCCACTGGGGATCGGGCCCACAACCTGGGCATGTGTCCTGACCGGGAATTGAACCAGCAATCTCTTGGTGCACGGACTGACGCTCAACTGCTGAGCCACACTGGCCGGACTGAACAGTACATTTTAAATGGGTGAACTGTTTAATAAGTGAAATCCCAATAAAGCAGTTTTTAAAATTCCATGTTACAAAATCCACAACCATAATATAGTACTAAAATTTTGCATTTTAATAGATACAATGTCTGTACTTTATACTATGTCCCTATAGACACCTTAAACCTAAACGGTTTCTAATGAGAAAAATAAGTCACTAGTCTGAAGAGCAGTTAACTATTGACAATATAGAGGCAAATTACAACCTTCATTATTCTATCTTCATAAAGATGCTATCTTCTTTTTTTTTGGTTTGTTGGTTGGTTGGCTTGTTGTTTTTATTGATTTTTTTTTTTTTTTTTTTTCAGAAAGAGACAGAAACATCAATGTGAGAGAGAAACACCAATTGGCTACCTCCTGCACACCCCCTACTGGGGATGGAGCCCAAAACCCAGGCTGGTGCCCTGACTGGGAATCGAACCAGGACCTCTCCGTCCATGGGACAACGCTCAATCCACTGAGCCACAAAGGTCAGGCAAGGATGTTATCTTCTTGAACTACCTACCCTAGATGATAAAATTCACTTCTGGATACAAGAAGGTAGAAGAGAGTATAGGGGGTATAAATGATGATGGAAGGAGACTGGCTTGGCATGGTTAACACACAACACAATATACAGATATAGATGATGCATTATACAATTGTACACCTGAAACCCATATAATTTTATTAACCAATGTTACCCCAATAAATTCAATTTTTAAAAATGCAAAGAATTCCGTACTGAGAACAGGAATGAACCCTGAAAGTTGAAATAGATAAGACACTATTTCACAATATGTGATGTGACCGGGAACAGAAACAAAGTTTCAACGTTGTACAAATTCAGGAAAGTAAATCATGTTCCTATAGTCCTTGTTTATCTACCTCTGTAGTTTTAACCTGTTAACCGAGCGGGACGTATAAATACATCAAACGTTGCATACAGTGAAAAGGGAATTCCCCGGTTAATAGGTTAAGAAACCCCCCACACACACACACACACACACAAAGTACAAAAACCATAAACCCCATTATAAGAGCTGATAGCAATTACTTTAAAACTTTAATGCAGCTGAGCAGTGTGGCTCATTGGATTGAGTGTCCTCTCATGCACTGAAAGGTCGAGGTTCAATTCCCTGTCAGAACACCTGCCCAGGCTGCAGCCTCGATCCCCAGTAGGGGGCGTGCAGGAGGCAGCCGACCAGAGCTTCTCTCTCACATCGATGACTCTCTTTCCCTTACTCTCTCTCAAAAAAAAAAAAAAAAAAAAAAATCAATAAAAATATATTTTAAATCTCATTTTTAAAAAAAAAACATAATGCAGCACTTCAAAAATGTTTACTGACGCCACCTTACCTTCAGGCCCAAAAGCTTCTCAGTATTCAAGACCCTACAATCTGTTCCACATTAAACCAATTAATTCAAAATGACATCTTAATAGTCTTCAAAATAAAACACTCCACTCCAGTCTCTTCGATGTGCCCTGATGCCATAAAGCATTCATTCCGTTTATGAGGTACATACTATCTGCCAGGTGCTGGAGACAAAGGCTGATTCTTCAAGAGAAACATGATGATGGGTCTTAATCAAGGTGCACATGAAGATTACCAGGGAATGCTTCTTAAAAATCACACGAACTGCATCTCATCACTGGAGATTTTGATTCAGTAAGTCTGGGCTTAAGCCCAAGAATCTCTTTACTGAAATAGTTTCCTAGTACCCAATGGTGATGGAAGAAGTAAATATTCAACTCCAATACGCAGAGCTGAACATTTCAATCAGGTGTACCAAATATGATCGTGGCACCAAAAAGAGGACACCCAACCTTTATGAAAAGAGGAAGTTAAAGGGAAAGGTTTATCAGAGATGAATATACTTTAATTGAAGTTTGACAGATGAAGGAGTGGCTAGGTGGATCAGGAGGGAAGGGGATTCCAAGTAGAGAAACTACATAAAAAACAGCACAACTACAATGTTGAGGAATTACACAAACTATAAAAATAGCATGTGTGTTCAAAAAGCTACAAATACTTCAGTGCCGCTGAAGTGAAGGGCCAGTAAAAACTGGAGAAGTAAGCTGGTTTAAAAGGGAGGGCCGAGCCCTGGCCGGTCTGGCTCAGAGGTTAGAGCTTTGGCCTGCGGTCCAGAGACCCGGGTTCAGTGTCCGCTAAGGGCACGTACCTCAGTTGCAGTGTGTCCCCAGCCCTGGTTGGTCGTGCGGGTGGCAGCCACTTGATGTGTCCCTTTCTCATCGATATTTCTCTCTCTCTTCCTCTCTCTCCCTCCCACTCTATCTGAACAAAAAATGGTGAAAAAAAATATCCTCAGGTGAGGATTAAAAAAAAAAAAAAGGGAGGGCCGAGACTTCCAGTCCAGAGGGCAGCATAGGTAACCACAGTACTGGCCTTCTCACATCAAAATTACAACTAAACTACAGAAAAACCATCTTTTAAGTCCTACAACTATGAAATTAAAGAAGCTATACCGAGACTGATAGGAGGGATGGAGGCGCAGACGGGTTGGTCCCAAACCAACATGTGGCAAATAAAAATCAGGAGGGATGCCCTGGTCTGTTTGCTCAGCAGTTAGAACGTCGGCCTACTGAACAATGAGTCGTGGGTCCGATTCTGGCCAAAAGCACGTATCTCCGTTGCGGTTCATCCCGGGCACTGGTCAGGGTTGTGTGAGAGGCAACCTGTCGATGTGTCCATCTCATGTCGACGTTTCTGTCTCTCTCTCTCTCCCATCTCCTTCCCTCTCTATCTGAA